GGATGGTTATTCAAAAACGCTTTAATCAACAACGAGATTTGTAATTAATTTTACATAATACTATTAACCTGTATAATACTACCAATCAAATATCTAATAAATTGAATGACGAAACTCACGACGGAGTTAACGCTAAATTGGAGGATTGGAGACTGATCGTAGAGTCTAAGGGGTCATTTCATAGAGTATATTAGAAAAAATAATACATGCATTAGCTTTGTGTGTTATTAGTACCTTGCTTGGTACACTTTTTTAGCCTACATGAAACTTGCACTAGTTACATTCTCTATTGTGTATTGAGTCACTAATACCATTGACTTTCATGTATTAGTAATACAAAGGGTTTCAACACATGCATTAGATTGATTAATGGCATAATTACCCCTCAAATTCCTCTCAAAACATTTCACATTTCCCAAAGCTAGAGAGTGGAGGGTATTTTTGTAAACAAACATCTTTTTGTAGAAGTTATGCAAGGCTTGCTATTTCTAATACATCAAACCAAACAGTGTATAAGAAATAATGTCATCATAACTAATACCAGCATTACTACTGCAAGCACTACTAATACACCATATTTAGCACAATTCTTGTACACTCTACCAAACAACCCCTAAGGGTTTTAGGTTGAGAATGACCAAGACAAAATACTTGGAGTGCAAGTTCAGTGATGTGCGTGAGGTTGACGTGGAAGTGAGGCTTGATACATAGGTCAGTCAAAAGAGAGATAGTTTCAAGTATTTAGGGTCTATTATCCAAGGAAATGGAGAGATTGACGAGGACGTCAATCACTGCATTAGTACAGGGTGGATGAAATAAAGGCTCGCATTTGGAATTTTGTGTGATAAGAAGGTGTCACTAAAACTTGAAGGCAAGTTCAGCACTTGCTTTGTTGTATGAAGCGGACTATTGGCCGATATAGAACTCACACGTTTAGAAAATGAAAGTGGCGGTGATGAGGATGTTATGATGGTATGTATGGGCTTACTAGAAAAGATAGGATTAAAAATGACGATATCTGATACAAGGTGGGAGTGACTTCGGTGGAAAACAAGATGCGAGAAGCAAGATTGAGATGGTCCTGGCATGTGATGAGGAGATACACGAATACCCAGTGCAAAGGTGTGAGAGGTTAGCTATGGATGGATTCAAGAAAGGTAGAGGTAGAGATTAAAGGTGATTAGACAAGACATGGCACAGTTGCAACTCATTGAACATGTGACCTTAGATAGGAAGATGTGGAAGACACGGATTAGGGTAGGAGTGTCTTGATTTGTTGTCCATTCTAGTAATCATAGTATTACTCTTGTTTCTTGTTTTTTGGTTTATATTATTATATGTTGTTTTGTGTAGTTCGATTGTAGTATAATTTTTTTGTAGTATTGTTTTGCTACTATTTGTTGTTTTATTACCGTTTGTTGCTTCCTTTATTTCTATTACTTCTTTTTCTAGACTATTTTTATCTTGAACCGAGGGTCTATCAAAAACCACCACTCTACCTTTGAGGTAGAGGTTAGGTCTCCGTACACTCTACCCTCCCCAGACCCCACTTCGTGAGACTACATTGGGTATGTTGTTGTTGCTTACCTTTTCCTCCTCTCGTTTGCGTTCCTTTTCCTTTGCTTTTTCCTGCAACCATGCAACATATTCCTCAAAGACTGCCCTTGAGATTGTCTCTTCACCAATAGCTCTGAAAGTAGTGAAATTAACGGAAGGTATTATGATCCATATAGTGAAACCAAAAATGGAGTTCTAATAAATAATAATAAAGCAACTAAAATGGGAAAAAAGAAGTCACCTGAACTCTGAACTGTCCTCCACAAGTTCTTTGCTCTCCTCCCAACTAGAGGAATCAGTTATTTCCTAGAAGGTCCCAAATCACAAAGTGAGCAACAAATACAAAGGTGAAGTAGGAAAATAGGACAACTCAATAAATCTTTTCCACAATATTTAACATGCCTTGATGGAACTGAGCTTGTCGGTAAAATCTTTTGCAAGCCTTTGATGCTTTTTAGCTTCTTTCTCTTCCTTTTCCTTTGCTCTCTCAACTAGATCCTCAAAAATAAGCTGCAATCAAGCAACAAAGACATTTGGCAAACAGCATAACAACAGCAAAGTTCTTCACCTCGTAAATATACACACAATACTACATTATCAGAACAACCATACTGAGGACATCAGTAGACAAACGCAACAACAACATGCCTCATTTTTTAAGGAAAAATTAAATTATTCAACTGACAGAAATTCACAGGCAAATGCGCTCCAATAAAATAGTCTGCCTCACATATAGAAGCGCTATTGTTTTAAAAGTTGAAGCAACTGAACAAGTAGCTGTATATTCTGGTCAACAAATGAGACATCATACATGCTGTATGCCAGAGAAAAACTATAGATGGGTTAGCATTCAGTTTCCCACAAGTATGTCTAAGTAGATCTGCAACTTTAAGACACTGAGAGACGTTTGATAAGCATAATCCCCAGATAAAATTACTTGGAAGCTTTATACATGTTCAGGATATCCCAACCAAGCAAACAAGGTATTAATCCCATGAAATGTCCTTGTTTCCCCTTATTTTTCATTTAGTGTGCCAGGTCGCTCCCTCATTTTCCTCTCTTCCTCTTTCATCTATCTCTCCCCTACACCATTTCTGCACGAACAAAGACATCCAACAAGGTAATGAACTTCATCCACTCTTAGTCCCCTAGTTAAAGCCAGTGCAGAGGACTGTGGATTGCAGTCCTCATTCCCTGCTACAAATAATAAAAGACAGTAATAAACCACCAAATACCAATTATAAATAGGCGATGCTAGTGAGGCATCGTTGGACCAGTTAAAATTTTATCCAATGGGACTCCTCAATTAAACATTCCCCCAGCTTACACAGTGAAGTACGGTAATAACTGATACCTTTTAGGAATAGTGAGAAGGGGCTCTCAGTTGAAAACATAGAAGGAAGTGAAGTCGAAGACACTGAAATGTTGCCTCACTACTACTCATGTGGTCCATGGATAGAAACAAATAGGAGACCTTCTCATGGGATATAGATCGACTATGTACATTTGACGAACAGCCTCGTATTTCAAATTTCTTTTTTGGGCACTTATGAGGTTCCAATGTGTGTAGGAAGCATGGTATCGTTCATAGGGTAGAATCAAACTATGTTATAGCTTCTTTACTTCCTGGTATATTGCTTTTATATGGGAGATTTTTCGGTATTAATTTAATTATTCACCTATATAAAAAAGTAAGTTGAATTTTGCAAAATGCTTATAAAATATGGTTCCAGGGAACATTATGAATAGAGTTGTGTGCGCGTGGGGTGGGGGGGGGGGGGG